GCCCGCCATTCCGCTGCACATTTCCCTCATTCGAATATAGACCGCATTTCCTTATTCTTTATTTCTAAATGTACTATGACGTAAATTAAGGTCCACCATCCCCCCATGAAACTGTAAGCAGGAACCCCTAAAGCTTAATATATATTACCCTGATCGTTTCGGATAAGCAACTAAATACAAATGTGCTCCATCAACTGCACAACATAAAATATGTTTTTCGCATTTTCTCACCCTTTATATTTTTTTTTTGTCGTTTTTTTGTTACTCGGCTTTGCTGTTTGTGTATGCCCGTTATTTTGTATGCTACGCTGGAGCAATTGCTATGTCGTGTATACGGTCTGCGTCTATGGATATGTTTGTGTGCGCGTTACAGTGATCTCTTCAGTCTTACACAGTATTACTACATGATTATTCATCTTGGCCCATCTGCTCACAGCAGCCATAAAACATTTTCAATCTACCCGTGACAAGCTAAACCCAGATTGATCCGGAAGCGGACCCGGCCGTTACATATATGTAACATTTAGGATAAAGTAACGACGAAGGGCTTGCGCTGGCGATGACAGCATTTTCAATATCCGTTTACACACGACGACGAGGTAAAGCAGGATCAGCTCTAAACGAACGTATCTATGCGCAGTGACCACAGATACAATGATTACAGCAAGATACTATTTTATAGACGAGCGAAATAAAAATAGACAAACGACCTTCTGCTAAATATAAATTAACTAGCTATCACATTATACCGCACCGAGCAAGTCGCGTTTATACGGTACGCTTTTGCTGCTAGCAGAAACAGAGTCACAGTGAATTCTAGGGCAGTTTTTTTTTTGCTAAATTGAATAACCAGGTAAGTCGGCAACCTACGTCGCATAGATGTAAATATATCTGTAAATAGACAAAGACTGCTACGCTGCTTGATCTGACCTTTATGTGATTATATCTGCTCGTTTGAAGAGTTCCCGATCTAATAGATTTTCGAGCTGTCCTAGAAGGTTCATTTGTATCCGGTCTCTTCCAACACTTTTAACCGTAAGCTAAGTGGTTTCGAGTTGTACCATTATTAGGCAGTCGATCAGTACGACCAGCACGATCAGTACGAAACGAAGTGTCCATCTATGCCCTGATTCGGACTGAGAAAACCACGTGTCTTTCAAATTAAGCACCCCGACATTATTATGTGACCCTGTCCAAACGATAGCTTAAAGTACTGACTGTTTGTTCGGATGAACTTATCTTGCGGTCACATAGGCCTTTGCGTTAGAACCAAAATATATTACTTACCAAACGTGAACTTAAGTTAGATGACATGCAAAACATTCATGAGCTGTTGAATCTATCACTTTAATCTGTTCAGGCCACTGTGGACCAACTGAAATAGTGTGATTTGATGCTCCATCTACGGTGACCAAGTACTGATATCTCTTCGGCATGTTCAACCTTTAACACCTATGGTTTTAAAAGGGTCTGGCTTGAGCTCTGCGACAATAATACAAAATATTGCTGTGAGCTTATCATGGACAGACCATAGCTTTTTTTTTTAAATTCAGACGCTTCCTCTAAGCGGATGTTGTAATGCTTGTATTCCAGCCAACGGTACTTCGATAAGTCAGACATTTTATGCGAAAATGGAAGTCAATAATCTGTTTGGTGCCGTCTGAAGAGAAATTATTCTTTTTGTGTAGTTATTATTTAACTTTCTATCTAAGTTTCCGATTCGCCGCAGTTTCGAAGATGTGCGGTCCCAAAACTAAAGAAGGATCCCATTTTTCTGGTAAGGTGTATCAGAATAAGCTTCCCGAGAAATAAGGGAATTGGGAAATATGTTTCTAACGATACTCAAAGCTGTGTTCATCCGATAACTAGACTATTAGTCGAAGTTCAAGTGAATTGTTCTAACTTGAACATCCACATTGAAGATGTTAATTTTTAAACTAGCTTCGTCGATTTTTTATCATAACACGTTTTCACGTAAGAAAGCGTCGTACGCCCGTCGATCGTTTCACATTAGAGAGTTGACATCAGACATTGAACATCTTATAATCGTTCTGAGTGTGTACACATATGTAGTACAATGGGCCTATAAAGCTTGCGTTAAAAGACCTACTTTCCCTCGTTTTTAACGATCGGCCTTTGCGTTAGAAGCAAAATATGTTACTTTAAAAAAAAAATGAACGATGCGTCAAGGTGTAGGGTAACCTCTACTGTATTACGGATTCTATAATAAGCAACTGAATTGTGTCATAATGTGATGATGATGCCTGTCATACGTTTATACATGTGCTAATTAAACATGTAAAGCCAAATAAAGGTGAACGGATGAACAAACATTCCGTTTCGTAACGACTTCGCCGCTAGCGGCGGTGGCAATGTACGGTGCTGGGTCATCGCCTGGAACGAACTTAACGCTAAATCTTCTAGAACATTACAATTAAACGCGAACGCTCAGTTCGGCCAAGTAATGCCAGTGGAAACTACCACAGCAGCAGATCGTCCTATAAAACTATTTTCCACGCTTAGCCTCGTCGCATCCATCCCCCCACCCACCCAGATCTCGTAATACAGCGGAGTAAACATTACGACAAAGCGTGCATAATCTGTTCTGAAAATCAGTATTTCTTTACTATATTAATCGTTGAGTAAGGTATATATAAACTGACATAATGCGGTAAGCTTAGTTGCTACATTTATGATTTTTTTTATTCGTTTTTTTTTTGTATCAAACATTGTGGCTATTTGCATATTATATAGCAAAATTCATTAGTAATAAAACGAGTGTTCAACCAGCGCTGACCACGTCGTGTCAACCACACTGGGGGGTACGCTAGCGAAAAAAAATGGGCGAAGGAGAGGCAAGCGACCACGTGTAAAGGCAACAAAAGCGTAAGTTTGGGCGCTTCCAATGTTTTCATGTTAGTGTTTTGTGCGCGTCCTCGTATGTTCACTTATGAACGACAAGGAAGCTACCATTAGGTAAAGATCGTATATTTGATATGTGTGAAGCTAAGCTGCGCTGAAACATTAGGGCCGTCGCATTTAAAAGCCAATCTTCCTTTCCGTTTCACTTGCCCGACTTCTCATATCATCTCTTTAGAGCGGTGACAGCCGCGCTTCGAGGAGAGTGAGTTGGCCGGCCGATCCGATAACCCGAGTGCGATTTCCGTCGCTTTCATTCGACGCCGCATAGACATGTTTCAATAACATAAATTTTTACGGTGGTAACAGCAAATAGTCGTAGTAGTACGGTGCTGCTCGGCTTAGCTTCTCCTCGCTTTATATATATATACACATATATATGTATCACGATAAATGAACAGATACAAGGCGCTGTTGCACAAGAATGCCAATGTGGGCGGTGCCCTCGCAGCGGTAACACTGAAGAATATGACTGTCGTAATATCGAGTCTTTCGTTCAGTCAACAATCGGGCTATAGAGAACGAACGAGCAAAGAGTGAAGACGAAACTGGTCGAAGCTATTGTCTGAGTGACGTTCTTCTGACTCGTCATCGTTCGCTCTGCAGGAGGGCTGATGGCTGCTACTGCGGCGCCAGCCACGAGGGCGAAAATATCAAACCAACGAAGAATACAGAGTACTGCAATTTGCCTTGCGTGCCACCAGCGTTTCTGCTGCTTTTGCTATTGTCTTTGCTGCCGTCGGCGAATCGTCATTTTCTCTGTTGAACGGCATTGCCCACCGCAAAATGTCTATCTATCTGGCGGCGATGAATCGAAGCCGGCGGCAGAGGAGGAAATAGGGAAAAATAGCTCGATTTCCCCTTACTGCTAGCCGTTTCGCGTCGCCTCTTCAGTTTGCTTGTACTTTAGCCTGGTAGGCGTCTTGGACATAAGTGGCACGTTAAAAGAGCGTGGACCTGCAGCACGATATCAATGCAGCATAACAGACGATGTGAATGCACCGGCCGTTTTGGGTCTGAGCCGCTTTTAGACGCCAATTTGATGGTGGAATAATAATAGACGTGTAACTGATTGATCCCTATCTGACTGTGTATTTTTTGTCTTTTACTCTTCTCTAATTGTATTACATAACAACAGCAAAAATCATGTTGCTATCTGATGACATTTCTATCTTACTTTTCGCTCTAAATCTATAAGGAGAAACTTTGTTGTGCTAGAATATTGAACTATGCAATGTTTATTATATGTATCGTTATAGATAGGTGCCATTCGCCAATATCTGCTTAAAAGGTTTAGCCGCTCAATCTGCTTCAGACGTACCGAAAGTTGAATAAAATAAACAAGGACAGATGAAACAACGCCCACTGCATCTCCAGGCTCCTTTGACCAGTGGTTCAACTTTTTTTTTTACTCAACATCAACTTCACAAGTTATCGTTACTACGTTCGAAGCACCGTACTCAAGTGTTTGCAGCGAATTACATATCAGCCATTCACAGATCGCACAGCCTTTCGCAGATTTGGTGCCACTGAGAGTTGAGATCTGTCGCTCTCTCGCATGAATGACACGATGTTACGCCCGAGTCTGGTGGCGTCCTGTAAATTCTCCATTAATGCACTCATATAGTGTTTTCCTAGCTGTTCCTAGTCACATCGGCGCTGTATCAGAACTTCCGAATTGTATCAGAAAGGTCCGTCGTTTCTATATGTTCGCAGAAAAGAGAGCCCGACCGCATTCGGTTTAGTGACGGCGATCGTCACAGCCACCTAAAGTTTCTCCTAACGATAAAGTAGCAAACGATTGGGTAAATGCAAAATCTAAAGCACGGAAAACGTGGTGCCGCCATCTGATCACTAACTTTAGAGGACAACCCAAAGTGAATGGCAATCTAACTTTTTGGCAAATTTTTGTTGGCCTATATATATATATATTTTTTTTTTTCTAAAAAACACTCAGTTGTAGAACTATTCATGCCTGATTACAGAGATGTGAATAAGAGAAAGAGGGCGAAATTTTTATTTCTATAAAAGTTTACACGGCATGGGCGATATGAAAGGCGCCGATCTATAAAAGCACTCACCTTTGTCACCATCAAAAGCAGTGTTTCCCACAAGCCGATACTTCAAACCGGTAAATCTCTATTGGTCCTCTAATAAAACTCAGCTCGTTCAGCGTGGAACTATAAATCGTATCCACTCTTCATGGATGTCGACGCTAATTTGATTGCATATCTTGATAGCATAACCGTCTTATTCCTTTTTGTTTGTCCACATCTATTCTACGATAGGAACCACCTATTATCCAGTAGTTTTTGTTATTCGAACGGATGTCCCTTCAAAGATGTTTCGCCAGCTGACGCCTTCAACACTGAGCCCGACCTAATTCTGGGTACACTATTAAACCGAATAGAACGATTCTATTTAACCGTTTTATGCTCAAAAGAGTTTTACGTCCGGTCGTCCAAACAATACAAAAGCACGTATCGTTCTTCACGAACACTCGAGTTGACGAATTATAATGATCGTGACGCTATAACAGTGTCGACAGAGAATGACATCAAACAGATTATCGAAAACTTTAAGGGAAGCCAAAACTCTAAATTACGCGGATCAGATTGGCCTTTTTCGCTTTCGACTCTATTTTATCCTAAGCGTCCAAACATCCCAGTCACTGACTGTCATAGCCAGCGTTCGACAAGTTCCCGGCGGTTCGTTCGAATACACGCTATCGTCCGCTCACTCGTCCTTTCGTTCGTTAGTTTGTCTATTCGTTGCTTCGCTACTCAGCTGGCTAATGGATGCTCGCGTTCGCTTTAACGCTTCTACTGGTAGAAGCAGTAGCAGTTGCAGCAGGCTTTGTTGTCGCATCCGTTACTACGGCCGTGGCTCCAACTTCGATAGTCCTCGTTTCGCTGGGGTATCTACCTAGCGTAACTACGGCTGCTTTTGCTGCTATTGGGAGAATTCCTCCGCAGCGTTCCTGCGGCCTGATGATGTTTCAGTGCTGGCGCGATCGCAGCTAGAATTCTGCTGATGCTGGCAGTATCTGGTGCTGTTGGTGCTCCCGTCGACGATGCTCCTACTCGTGGTGCTGCCGCGGCAATCGTAGCTGCCGATGCTAATCCTGATGCCGGGAACGCAGTCCTCTCAACGGGGCAGGTCTATAATATGACCACTTGTGTTACTACGAGCAGCAATGCTCTAACGTCGACGAGAAGCCGCCGGCCGGCAGGAGAGCTTCCCCACAATTTGCTGACGATCGTTGTCGACGTCATCCGAAAGCTCTGCCGCCTAATAAACAGACCCGCAGATTCACAGGTAGATAAACAGGCCGCAAATGAACGGATAGTTCAAACAGAGCTAGAAAAACAGACTGAGTGAAATAGGGAGCTCCTCTTTCTAGAAGGAGTCCAAAGAATATGAGAGGGCCTGCAGGCACACAGGACACCCGGCCCGACGGCTGTCAGAACGAGCAACGGCGAGCATTTAGCAGTACTGTAGCTTTACAGCTTCTGCTAGTTTCTGCCATCGCACAACTCGTGCATCTTGTTGTGCACACACTTCACCCAGAGCTCTCGCCTACAACAGACTACCACTTACGGCGTTCATTTTCCTTTAACACTGCTACAATCCAATGGCAATGTTTCGTCAGCGTGTTATCGATCGGTAGTACGGCAGGACAGTTTTGGTGCACGAGCAGATGAATTCAGAACGGATGAAACTTCTTCTACTACCCTTCGACGGCTACTGATTGATCCAGCGGACCAGCTAAACAGCAGACACGACCATCGTCATCATCACCATGATCATTATCATCACCGTCATCACCCGTAGCAGCAGCATCGTCAGAGAAGTAGCTAGAGTGGTAGTGATGCTGCTGCTGCTGCTGACTGTTCGACGGAACTGCCGTCGCCAAAGCCGTCGTTACTAATTTAGTGGCAGGGACGCCGCCGCGGCAGCGGCCACCGTTGCGACGCGGCCGCTGCCGATTCTCCTCCCTTCGGCGATCCCTTCAGGCAGGAAAGCAGAGGAGAAGCTCTTACCGCCACAAACGAAAGAGAAACAACGACCCAACGACAGACAGAAAGAGGAAAGGGCGAACCGAGTACACGTTCTGTTGGCTGTTACTTTTGATGCGTGCGCGTGTGCCTGGATGGAGTTTCTCTATTGCTGATGTTTTTATGGCTCTTGATGATTTGCCTTTTGTGTCCCCATAATATGAAAAAGTTGTATGCATCAATGCTGGTGGCTATAATCGTTGCCGTCGTCGTCAAATGGTGTGCGTTTGCAAGTTTTGGCGCTATAGCTAAATCTGACGGGGTACGATTTACAATGACGGGCAGCAAACGCACTGCCTGAGAAGGAATAATATCACCAGCAGGGACTGTCTGAGCCAAACACCACTTTTCTACCTTTCTTTTTTTCTGTCTCTCCACACTCGTCTAATTTTTTTTTTGCTAGAAGAATGGCGACGTTGGCACTGGCAATGTAAATTTTCGCTCCTCAGCATCGGACCACATGGAAAGGGGGCGTCTTACGAAGGAAGAGCGTCTCAGACGCGGCAGACGAAACAGTCGTCGTCCTGATAAAAGGGCTATGATTTATAGACGAATTTCAGAAAGTGGCCGAAGGACAAAATCGAGTACAGAATGGGGACAAATAATAGCTAGACTCTTTCAGCATTTTATCAGCTGGCCATTGGTTGTTGCCAGAAATGCATTGCATGCATAGGCATAAAAACTATAATAAGGGAAAATTCTGTAGAATTTTACAGATTCAGAGTTTCTTTAGGTCTCATTTTGTCTACGGCTAGCATTCTACAAACGTTGAGAATCGGCGATGCTTATAGCATCGAGGACCCAGGTAAATTCAATAACTGCGTTTAAAATTTCAGTGTAGAACAAGCAAGTACTTCGGCTAGAAGTTGTCTGACGAAGATACCTCGGCTGTATTTTGCTATCATGTCGACTAAGTTTAAAGGTTAAACCATTAACCGCTGAAGAGGCACAGGTTCTTTTGGTACTGAATGAGTAGGCGAAGTTTATAAATCTATATATTCGGTTAAGATAACAGAAAACGAGCCAAGAACAAGAAATAGATCCAAAGATTGGACAACTAGGGCTAAATTATTGTGAAAAAACCTGAGACACAACAAAAATAAAAAAAGAAGAAGAAGAAGAAGTTACAGATAGGCTTTAAAAAATATACGGAACCGATAATACCGGAAAATATTCGCACCCTATAGTGAGCTAATTTATGATCGATTCATGACGGAATAACGTAGATTTTCTCCCTTTCGGCTACTAAGCCCTCCAAACATTTTAAAGTAACTTATTGTTTTGAACACTGCATCGCTGCAATACGGAACCACTCAGATGGCCAGAAAAGTCAGTCGCTTAAATAACTGGTTGTAGTGTAAACCTCGATGGATGGCTTTGTGTACACTAATTTTATTCAGATCTGTCTTTCCCACATTTTCATTTTAACGCCCGCTTAAAACGCCGTCGCCGTTAGACGCCACATCACGGGGAGAAGCTATCATTTCACGGGACGATCTAGATTTAAGTATTTAGATTAGGACTTGTCCTAGATAAAAATATCGGATTTTCGATAAGATTGCCTAATGTCTGTTTAAAGCTTCTGACGTCTACCATTCGGTGAGCTGTTAATGATCAAAACGCTGTTTCTTTACGAGATCAGCCAAAGTTCCTAAAAGTAATTGCTCAGCTAATAGGTAGAATTAACATTTTGATAACGTACCACGTTATTTGTGTATATTGTTAACGTTGCTGTTATTTTACCTAGAACCTAATCACAAACTTGAGGTCACAAGAAAATACAAGTTTCCTTTTGTTAGGGTACGTCCAGTTCGCCTGGAAACGCTAGAACGCCTAACAAGTTTAAGCTGGAGAAGTCGAATGAGCCAGCGGGATTTTTTAATTGTCCATCGTTTATCAGGTTGGCGTTTGTTTGCCGTGTCGACTTGACAGCTCATTAAGATAATGTCAATGTTATTTCCAGATCGTCTCAGTATCGGCCGGAAGTGCTCTTCTGTGTGAGAGCTTAGAGTAAATGAAATGTTTCTAAGATCCGCCGGGTACAGTTGGCTAGGAACGAATTAATGATTTGGTTTCTGAAACAACCTTCTATGCTGTAGATCAACTAGAACATGCTTTCTTAATAAAGATTAGCTTCAGCCGACATACGTAAAACGGATTTTTTGTATATTTTTATACGAAAAATAATAAAGTTTCGTACGGTTTTGCGTGATAATCGAAGGCCAAGCAAGATATTTATATGATGTTGGTGATATACTTAACATTTCTCTGCCCAACGGCAAACTCTCGATAACAACTAGAACGAAAGGGAAAATCAAAGATAGACAAAATACTTTACCTAACAGTAATTAATTTTATGATTGCTATTATTAATCCATATAATTTTCATTCTAACTTTGTCATTATTGCAAAGGGGAGACAGCAACAGGAGTTAAGGTAGTTTCGGATTCTACCGAAAACGCTGGACGCTGCTGCGTCCAAAATATACTGCCATTTTTATAGGTTAATGTTTGTTATTATGATCACTTTATCAATGGTGGTTTTCCGGTCGAATACCTTTTCAGATGATCAGCTTGTTTTACCTAAATGTAGGAGCTGTTAACGGTTCGTGCGGTACAAATCGGGCGTAACACTTAAAACTTCCCGACCCACTTAGATTCGTTCTACTGTCATACAAAACTACAACAATTCTATAAACTTGAATCTTTTTGTTAATATAATAAAATCCACCTAGGATTTTTTGGAAAAAAACTTTTTGAAGTCAATTTTACGCGACAGCTAGACCAGAGGCATGGTAAATGGAATATAGATTCAAGATAGCTATGATTCTGAGGGCCAATACCTTTATTTGTAGCACACATCCATACAGTGACGCCAATTATCAGCTTAACAATTTGAATTATTGAACAACACTAACTTTATTAAACATTGAGTTTTTTTTCAAATATGTAATTAAAATCAGACGTAGAATAGGCCTGTGCTATGTATTTCTTATTGTGCGTACGCTAATAATGCTTAAAAGTCGCTTTTTTTGGCTCAATCGAAGCCCTCTGCTAAGTTTCGTGACTTCGTAATCTTATGGACTTCACAAGCTGGATTATCTCGCTGATCTGATTAGCCCGTTTCCATGCGAGGCTATGGTAAAGATCTAGTTTACAGTGACGTCGATTAACATAGAGCGATCGAGTACTAGACTGTATAAGGAATTAATGAAATCCGTCCGACTGAGAAAGCATTCATGAAAAAAGGTACGGATTAATCGACTAGAAGTTGGCAAGATAGGCCGATGTTTATTTTCGTTACAAGTCCCCTGTTAATGTTCGGTATGGCCATGCGTCGATGCTAACATATTTAGTAAGCTTTTTACGTAATAATAATAGTATTAAAGCACGTTTGCCTGCTATATAGTCAGTCGCGTTAGAGAGCAGAACCGAATATCATCGCTGCAGTTGCGTTAGCTTCCGAAAGCAGTAGACTAGGACGGCGGATCACCGAAAAAAAGTTCTCTCTTTCATTGTTACGCTTTTGAGGATATCACTATTCGAACGCGCGATAATTTGAACGTAACGGCCTTAAGTATTTGGCCCTGTTCCAGACGTGTCTACACTCATTGTTATGGGCACTATGCGTTCATATCTAAACAACGAAATTGATACACCTTAAATATGGTACGTCGAACGTCACTTTCCAGTCAGATTCAGAGCTCTAGTATGCTCTCGGCTCAAATCAATGCTTCGGACACTTTCTGAAACATGGACTTTGTCGAATTAAAAGGACAGCTTTTTCGCTAGTCGAGAAGACTTTCACAAGAACAAGAATCTTTAAGTCTGAACAGATCGAGCTGGCGGATCTGTACTGCTATAAGATGATGCTATAAGCATCTGGGAACATCTGAGCTATCCAGATACAAATTCAGTCCTATCACAGATTCAACTCTGGAACCCGTGTGCATCAGTCGTAGATATAACTTTTGTTTTACACGGTATAAAAAATACGGTCGTGAAAAGCGACAAGGTGATGAAGAACGATGAACTAGCCAATTTTAACTGATTGAACTAGATCGGCATTGAATCGTCTTACATAAAATATCCGTCAACAGTTTGTGTTCGTTCTGCCTGTCAGAAAATAAGTGCAAAACTGGTAAGCCTTCCGCTAGCTCCGGAAAAGTTCCTCTAGCTAACAATAAAGCCTATATAGATGAACACAACTTTACTGCTAGTCCTGTAGCAGACAACGATCAGAACAACGTTCGACTAAGTCCTTCGATTCGTAGGACAAGAAAAAAGCCATTCTTTTGAAAAGCAATACCAGCATACGTTGAAAAGCAAAAGATGAAAGCGACTGACTGAATGTCCAGAAGTGTCATCTGAAGTGGCACTGACTAAGCCGAAGTGTGCATTTTCTAAACTTATGTAGGGACCTGATGGGCTATGGTAAACGTTTTCCAGATTACGAACAAAAAATCGCTATGAAGTCGAACGACTCTATTTTTTTTTTATTTTATATATATATATATATATTTTACCCAGTTCTCACGCGCCTCTCATAATAACTGCTTTTGAAGATGCGCTATATTTACACCGAACTAAGGTTACATAAACCTTTTACTCAATATCATGGCTTATCACGCTTTCAATGTAGCCGATGTCCAACGTTTCTAAACTAACACGCCCATGAAGAAGCCTAGAAGAAGCGAGACTAACTTTTACTATTAGAAACGGGTCATGAACGATAAGGTTGATTGGCGCTCACGATAGTATTTTGTCTTTTCGCAAGATGCAGGTCTACCGTATATACAG